ACCTGCGGATCATCGAAAATCTCATGACTTCAAAACATCATTTGTTCTTATCAGCAACATGCTTAGCACTGATGGGTTAGATAATCTGCACAACTTTATAGGTTTTTCGTTAAAATCGGAGAAAGCAAAATGACTCTAAAGAAAAGAGCCGGGAATCATCAGGGATCATACAAAAGCTGGAAAATGCGGTTTGTACAGCTTCTCGCTCCTGTTCAACATGTTCATAGTGAAGGATAGTAGGAATACTTACGGATAGGTACACAACGTGAAATCCAAGTATCTGGAGGTTCGAAATATGAAGCTTTCTTTTAAGCTGCGATCCCCTCCCCGCGGGGATGTTAGTGCATGCGGCCCTAAGCTTTGTAAAAATAGACCTGCAAAAGAATTGGAAGGCATCTCCAAAATTCTCTTGGAAGGAATGGCTAGCGCCACGTTCAATTTGTCAGATCTAACGAGTTAGCTGATCTCGGGACTTGATCCCTCCACCCTGCTTATTTCCTCTTAACAGAGCAATTCCTAACTAGATGTTTTTATCATTATAACATATATAAATATGGGGGACATAAATGGGCAGGGGACCACCGAGCACCCAGGGAGTGCCAGCTCATTTGGAGTATCTGGGCGCCGCCCAGTTCGTGTGGACCGTCGGACCATCTAATTAGTCTGCGTCTCGGAAATTGAATAAATATTTTGTCGCTCCTTCTTCCCCCCCCCCCCTCCTCTCCCGCCCCCTCCCATCCCACGTAAATTCTCGAGTCTCCACGGTCGCTACAGCTGTAGTATCTGTGCTATAGGCAGCAAGTCTATGTAATTGTCGTATTCGGGCCCAGCAAATTTTCTGATCAAACCCGCCTAATTTTAAATCATCAATAAAACTCATCAGAAAAGCTGTGACGAGCTGAGTAACCATATTTTTTACTGGTTGGTGTTAGTAGTCGAATGACTGGGAAAGTTATGGCAATTGAAACGAAGTTAATGACGCAATTTTCGCCGATGTAAGGGAAGTTCGGCGAAAATGCGTTTTATCGGCGAATTGTTCCTTTTCGACTAGGAGCGAAAATGTGACACTGGATCAAATTATGGGAAGACATTCTGATCATGTCAATCCCATATAGAAGTACAGCTCATCAACAAAATCAATAATAAATATAATTTTTCTGTGTACCATGAAAAACTCTCGTTTTGCAGCAAAAACTTCTCTTGCCACGATTGAGCAAGAAATATGGAACCTTTTTGGTTATATAATTTGTTTTTCGGATTTGGTTTGAAATTTAGAAGGGTAGGGCAACACCGACAAGATCCTTGAAATCATACAAATTCAAAAGAAAAATTTTATTTCGTTTTCCTAGCATCTGCTCCTACCAATTCTGTTATGTACGTTACACTAGCTCAAAAAAACTTGCTTAACTTGCTTTTCTTCACCCAGCAATGCGTAAAAACTCCTATAGACAAGAATTGATTCACATACAATTTGCCTTCTCAAAACTAGTCGGAATATCTATAATAGGTGATGGTGCGCAATTGTCTGGCACGTAGAGGTTTTTCATTGTTGTTAGTCAAGGACATGTCATGCCAGTTTTCTATCAGCTGACTTTCAACCAGTGTTTGCTAGAACCCCAATTTGATGCAATGGTGTGACTGCTGCCGGTTGTATTATTGAGAATTCCGATCGTCATATTTTACGGGATAAAAAAGTTCTTTGCATTTGCAATTTTTCTCTCATTTTCTTTGCATTTGCTTATCATCGGAATTGTTTGGCTCTTGTTTTGATTTTGGTCTGCTTTTGTCCACCATTGTTATCATAGCACAAATATACATTTTGAGCGTTCCTCCTCAAAAACAATATCCAGCTAACCCAAATTTGATTATTAGGGCAAGAAATTTGTGTTACATTTCGATTTCAGTCTTTCCATATTGACGCATATCTATGTTTGAACCACGGAATTGTCTCCAAAAAAATTAATAATAATATTTTTAAGATTTCAATTTTGATTTCTCTACGATGCGCACAGAATCTTTGAGAGTTCATAAATTATTTTTGATTACTCTCATTCCTCATTCTTAGAACGCTAGGGCACCGAAAGCCGTTAGAGAAGAGGCTTTCCAAATCAAATTTCAATTAACAAACCACATTCCAAAAAAATTGGGAGAGAAAAAACACAAGTAAGCGGAAAAAATCGCAGAAAAATCGAAAATGTGAGGTGTGCTTGCAAAACTGTTCAAATTTGTTAGTCATCTGTGCAATTGCGGTACTTTGGCCAGATCCTGCTATTCCAAGTATGACGTAAATTTGGAACAATTGGAAAGTTTCTTGAATTCAGAAAAAATGAGAAAAACTGCAACAAAAGTCATTAGCTAACCTATTAGAAAAATCGAAAAAAAAGTATTAGGTCAGTCCGAAAGTGCGCGCTGTTTTTCAGACCCATGCTTAAACCATTTAGAATGTAGATAGAGAAACGCTGTAAGCGCTTTCCGATGCAGAATTTCTTCCTCTTTCTAATGGTTATGTATTTGTTCAGATTCCTTTAACGCTCGCTCAATAATCGGCAGGGATCTCCAACCCATAATTTTCAGCCATCTTCAATTTGGCTATTTTTTGAAATTTCCATTTTCAACGTTTGGACTTGCTTCGATAACAGATAAATAAAATAAGCAAAACGCAATACAATTTTCTGGCATCTCTAGCTGGCTTCTCAAAATTTTTATAAAAATTTTCTTCTGATGTTATCAAATTCCATCTTTGGGCATCTCAATCCTCACAGAACAATAAACGACAAGGAACCAGGGTGTCATTCGATGCAGCTTTTTCTCCTCTTTCTGGTAGACTTCTTTTCTTCCTGACTTGTGTAATATTTGAGAATAAAACCATTGCATTTTTTTGTTTTCGGACATGTCCCAGGCTTTACCTAATAAACTCGGAATCAATATTTCGAACCGCTAAACGCTCAGTTGCTCGCAAAGATTAGTGCTAAGCCATAGTCTGTTTTTGAAAGCTTCGAATTCAGAAAAGTTGTCAGTGTTTGAAGCGATTGTGTATTTCGCTACTTCGCAAAACCAAGGGCTTTGAAAAATTATTCTAAGAATTACTGAAAAGCTAGTTGATGAAGCCGAAATAATTCACTGTATTGCATTTTGTTTACTCCATCCAACTGTTATCCAAGCAAGTCCAAACGTTGAAAATGGAAATTTCAAAAAATAGCCAAACTGAAGATGGCTGAAAACCATGAGTTGGAAATCCCTGCCGATTATTGAGCGTACACTGAGGATATCTGAATAGAAACATAGTCACTAAAATGAGGGAGTATCTGCATCGGAGAGTGCAGCATGGAGTTGCAGCATCAGTCTATCTTCATTTCTAAGGGCCGCATGCACTAACATCCCCGCGGGGAGGGGATCGCAGCTTAAAAGAAAGCTTTATATTTCGAAACTCCAGATACCTGGATTTCACGCTGTGTACCTATCCGTAAGTATTCCTACTACCCTTCACTAGGAACATGATGAACAGGAGCGAGAAGCTGTACGAACAGCATTTTCCAGCTTTTGTATGATCCCTGATGATCCCCGGCGCTTTTCTTTAAAGTCATTTTTCTTCCTCCGAAGTTAACGAAAAAGTTCCAAAGTTGTGCAGATTATCTAACCCAACAGTGCTAAGCATGTTGCTGATAAGAACAAATGATGTTTTGAAGTCATGAAATTTTCGATGATCCACAGGTCGAAATTTCGGGGTATACCGAAAAATTCGCTTTTTCAAAAATTCATTTGTTCTCATCAGCAACATGCTTAGCACTGCTGTTTTAGATGTTCAGTATAACTCTGGAAGGTTTTCGTTAACTTTGGAGAAAGAAAAATGACTTTGAAGAATAGATGTTCGTCCCCGAGGGATCATCAGGGGATCCTACAAAAAGCTTGGAAATGCGGCTTGTACAGCTTCTCGCTTCTGCTCAATATGTTCATAGGGAAGGAAGGTGGGAGCACTTGCGGACAGGTAGACAGCGTGAAATCCAGATATCCGGAGCTTCAGGATATGAAGCTTTTTTCTGAAGCTGCGATCCCCTCCCCAGCGGAAATGTTAGTGCATGCGGCCCTAAGTGGTTTGAGCATGGGTCTGAAAAACAGCGCAAACCTTCGAACCAACCTTATATGTTCTTTGATCTTTCCTGACCTGTGATGCGCTATAGCGTCCCAACATCTTTTTCCCTTGACCTTGTTCTCAATTTGTTTGCTTTTTTCACCAAATCGAAAGTCCTGGTGATGTGATAACACTGTCATAGAGGTATGCATATCATCGGGGTGAAAGGATCTTTGATCTTTGACGCATTTGGATATCTTTTTTGTTGCCTGATGATGGCCGAATTGCGTTCCACTGTTGTTCTTGTTAATTACGTCTTTGTCGTTCATGAACGTTCCTTTTTAGTTGGTACTATTCAACACGCTAAAGCGATTCTATCCCGGAATTCTGCGACTTGTTTTCCTCTCTTTTTTCTCATACCAGTTCTTATACTAAGGCCAAAAGATCTCAATCCAAAAAGCTTATTTTATTATTTATATTTTGATATTTTTTATTTATTTTTGTTTTTCATTTGATCTTATTTTTAGTCACTTTCTATCTATCTTCCTGAAAACACACAAAAGATAATTTACCTTTACCTCATTTCTTTGCACTTTTTCGCATCAATTATTCGGAATGTGAATTTGATACATTGATATTTTATGAGCTTTTACAAGAAATTGCTGTGCTACTTATTCTGATCATCTTTATAATTTCTAAATCTTTGATACAGGCGATCCTGTTATGTGTTCCTTTTGGTTGTTATTTATAGTTTTTCTTTTGAGAGAATGAAATTTGCAGGAAAAAATTATTACCAAACAAGCAAATTTTTTTGTATTTCTAGGTTTGGTCAAATTGTGGATTGGTCGACTTATTAGGGACTATATCTTAATGAATCGCTCTATGAACCGCATATATTTTTGACCTTTGATATAGTCATAAAATTTACTATGTTTTAGCAAATGCTTACAATTCTGCTTTGCTCATGGCTGATTGGTGTGACAGCTAAATCGCTATCCTCACCATCTGAGACTTTGTTAGGAAGCGACAAAAAAGCAAATACGCCTGACGTTTTCAAGGAGCCTGGCGCAATGGACCAGGTGAGATTACCTACATACTTGTAACGTTTGAGTGATATATTACAGTTTAGGAAATACCAATGAATTACTCACGGACGACTTTCCGATTTGAATACAACGACAATGGGACTGAGATCATAGCACCAAAGGAGGTGGCGTTTGAGGTATATACAAGATCGCACATTCTAAGTAATTGTTTCTGCTAATTTTTTATTTTGAGACAAGCAATTTTTCTTCTGCAAGGTATGAGTGGAGGTTCAAAAATTTATTCCATTTCGACTTGTTTTTATGACAGACTAGCTGGCTTACCCGGCTCCGCCGTATCCGGACCAAACTTGGCACACACACACTTCGGGCCCCGGCGGGTGTCACAGTCCACTTTTCGTTATCGATCGATGTCGATTTTACCGTTTTTTATCGATTTTTTTGCAGAGTTCACCTACAGGGCTAGGAGTGTGAGCATGGGGATTTCGAATACAATATTAGTTTTCAGGATCGTCCATTACTTTTATTGATTTTATCGATTTTTTGTAAATTTTGACATGCGAGGCTGGGATTTTGCACAGGGGGGCAATCGAGCATGCTGATTACGAACACAATATTAGTTTTCAGGATCGTCCATTACTTTTATCGATCTTATCGATTTTTTTTTGTAAAATTTGACCTGCGGGGCTGGGAGTTTGCACAGGGGGTAATCGAGCATGCAGATTATGAATACAATATTAGTTTTCAAGATCGTCCATTACTTTTATCGATTTTATCGATTTTTTTGTAAAGTTTGACCTGCGGGGCTGGGAGTTTGCACAGGGGTGTAATCGAGCATGCTGATCACCCCCCTTGGGGATGATCAGCATGCTCGATTACCCCCCTGTGCCAACTCCCAGCCCCCTAGCTCAAACTTTGCAAAAAAAATCGATAAAATCGATAAAAGTAATCGATAATCCCGAAAACCAATATTGTATTCGGAATCCCCATGCTCGATTACCCCCCTATGCGAACTCCCAGCCCCGTAGCTCAAACTTTGCAAAAAAATCGATAAAATCGATAAAAGTAATCGATAATCCTAAAAACCAATACTGTATTTGGAATCCCCATGCTCGATTACCCCCCTGTGCCAACTCCCAGCCCCGTAGGTGAACTCAGCAAAAAAAATCGATAAAAATCGATGAAATCGATATCGATCGATGATGAAAAGTAGCCTATGACACCCGGGGCCCGAAGTGTATGTGTGCCAAGTTTGGTCCGGATCGGTTCAGAAATGGAATTTTCTATTCGGAACATACGTACACACATGCATACAGACAGACAAACAGACATTCAGCTTTATATATAAGATGTTTATTGAGGCCATGTTGACTTCAAAAAATGAATTGAAAAAATGTTAATCTATAAATACTCAGACTGAGCGGAACTTTCGCAGAAGGTTTGGGGAAGTTCCGCTGGTTTACCTGCGGATGTTCTGTAGACGTGCTGCGGAAGTTCCCAAATAAGGTGCTGCGGGAGCTCCGAATAATGCGAACCACAACAGCAAAAGAGAACACCTAGCGAGATCGAACCTTGCTCTATTTACTGCGAAACTCACTTACTACCCTCTGCACCATGGATTACATGTCCGGTAATGCACTCTAGTTGTTGGCGAGGCAACATAGAGACAACACGTTCAAAATCCTGCGGAAGTACTGGCATGTGAAAGTGCTGCGGAACCCTTTTTCCGCAGCGTTTTGTGAAAAGTCCTGCGGAAGTTCTCGTTTTCAACCAGTTTGACTTAAAAATCCTGCGGAAGTCCCCATTTTCAACGTTTTCACTTTTGCAATAGTAAACAAAACCCTGCGGAACCGCTGCAAATTTCGCTTGTCCTGCGGAAGTTCCATTGAGTGTTTGAGTATTTATCTGTCTCTTTCGAGAAAATATGCATCTATCGAATTTTTAGTTTTTTCATGATGCCTGTAACCGTCGTTTACTATGCATATTTATCCCTGTTCTCTGGCTGCTAACATTCTCGGATATTTTCAGATAATACCAGTTGACTACTTATGCAGTTTCTGCAAAGCGATCATAGAGAAATTGAAAATTCGACAAAAAGAAGAAGCAGAATTTGAGAAGGTGAGACACCAATTCTATCGATTAATAATAGTGGAGTCTTGAACATTCTTCGCGGAAATTTTTAACCTCGTCAAAATTTTATTATTTTGTAATCCCATGGACTTAGCTACTTACAGATAATTTTTTATTGAGAACATGCAAGACGAATGCAAGAATAGTAACCATACATCACTTGATGGCGAAAACGTTTGTGCGCTGATAAACAAGTACGATGCTAGAAACCGTTTCATTATCGATTTGCTATTTTTACGGTCAGAGTAATTTAGAGTAAATCTACAACGTCTTCAAGAAGACTCTGCTGCAAAAATATGTGCTGAAGAGAAGTTGTGTCTGGGCAAGGAGGAAGAACAGAATATAAAGGAGGAGGAAGATGAAGAAACGGAGAAGAAGAGGCCTGAGGTAGGTTGAGTTAGGTAAACTTGCTTTTTGTTAGAGTACTTCAACAGATTCAAAAATTTACCTGCAAATTTACATCATACATTACAGGACAGTTTATTTTAGTTTTTTTACAGTTTCAACTTTATTTACAGCCTCCTCCGACATTAGAAAAGGGAAAAAATCAAGAAGCAGTAAAGGAAGAGCAAGAAAAATTCAGCAAAAGCAAAACTGTTGAAGCTGTCCCTGCTGTAAAGGGTGATGAGGTGAGAAAATACGAATATGGCGTTCTTGGGGCAAAACACAAAAAATTGGCGCCTCGAGAACACTAATTAAAAGCCCCATACTAAATTACAATGCGTTTCATAACTATACGCACCCCGCGAAATTTTTGATTTCGGAAATTACAGAAGAGATCGAGTGCTTCAAAGTTTGTGTGATCTACGTATCATATTGAATAGAATGACATCTCAATCAATATGTCTACTCACCCCAGTACTTCTTAGCAATCTGCGCGCAAATTCTCTCATTCAAATTTAGTCTTTTGAACCACGCAAAATGCTCTCAGATTGTAGAGGAGCCTCCGCTAGAGTTTCTCTTGCTTAAATGACGTGGACTCTGCGTACAACCGGCCAGCCTATCCGTCACAGTGATCCAAACTAAGTTTTTTGGCGGCGTACCAGGAGTTCCCAAAGCTTAGCCGCTTTTCTTCGCAGGGGTACTTGGCACTTCCAAAAATCCCTTAAAGGACATCACACCTTATTGGAGCCGAAGGGCGGCTGCTCCCATCGCTCTTCCCTCTAGGTGCCTTCATTATGAATTGTTACACGGACTGTAAGACGTGTATTGTTTTGGAAGATAATAGCATTGAAATTGAGAAAAAATTTTCTAAGGGTTAAGGATCCGTGAAATGACTGCAACTGAATTTCCAGCATTTCGAATTACGTTTTACTCACGTTTTCGGACAAAATGACGCTTCAGCCAAACTTATGAGTCTTCCAATCACAGTATATGGCAGAGAATTAGTCAATTAGCAAGTTATTGATAGAGGGTTCTAAACCACTTCTGGTGACTCAATTATGCAACTCCTAGTGCTAAATTACTACTTAAATCAGATGAAGAGGAATTTACAATTGATCAACCATCTCTCTTATTTCGAATGACCGACTATACAAAAAATGCTTTGCTATTTATCTTTTTTGAGAATAATGTTCAGTGTTCATTCGGGGATGGCGTAGCAGAAGATTTCAAGCCTTCTCAGGCCTCGGGCAGAGTTCACGCGATTTAATCGTCGCGATTGATCGCGACAACTGTAACAAAATCATTGCATGCCGACCTTCTTGCACTTCGATTGTGATAGTTTTCCAGCACGACTAATCGTGACTAACTATCACAACCGAATACAAGAAGATCGGTATGCAATGAACTCGTAATACTTGTCTTGTAGCGATTGAATCGCGATGAACTCTGTCCGAGGCCTCACTTGATAAATGGTAACTATGGTCTTCGTTTTTTTTCATTTTTCCTCTCCCTCACAATGAGATCAGTAAATGGGTGGAGCAATGGGCATGACCTCTGAAGCGTGGAGGTGCTAGGACCCTCCTGGGTGCGAATGCTGACCTCTGAAGCGCGGAGGTGCTAGGACCCTCCTGAGTGCGAATGCTGGTGCGAACTTGGTGCAAGGAGAGGTGCTAAGAACTCCTGCACGCCCTCCAAGTTTTTTTTTTTGATTAGATTACACCACCAAATCATTGGCTCATTCTTTCTGTCATCTTCTTAACAAAGCGCCTGTAACAGTACAACGTTTCGCAGCAGCGCAACGCATGTGAACATGCAAGCGGGTCACTTACCGCGGGAGACGGTCAAGAGGCGCGATTTCTCCCGCTCTCACCAAGTCAAAACTCCAGTTTAGTGCTATACGAGTTTTCAAAAAGTACCACCTAAAGTGCATTGGATTACTATCTGTATGAGGTTACCACTCGCCGAGTTCGGTGGCTTTTGCTGGGAAACGGACCGAAATACTCACGAAGTTTTTGACTTTCAAAATTGCTCTTTTGAATTGTTTCCAAGGTAGAAGATTGAGCAACCCATGCAACTCTTAAATATATCTCCTTCTAAAAGTTCAATACTTTTGCAATGTTATGAAACACTTATTATGTGCTTTTTGGTGTCCATCTGGCAATAAAAACCGCGCCTCTTGACATACACCCACTTACCGCCGTTTTCCGCCGTTCTCCGCTAGCATCGCGAGCAGCTTCTGTAAAGTTGACCAAATACCGTCTTGTCTTAAATCCTTCGGAAAATTTCTGAGAATTACTGATACAGCGTTTCTAAGCAGATACAAATAGTACGAGTCATTGAAAATGTGGAGCAGTTCGTTATGGACACATGCGACAATACTGGACCAAAGACATGCATGATTTGTCAGAAACATTTCTAGTAGACTTGGTGAAGTGGTAAAAGGCCCGGTGTGCTTGATTAGGCATAAAAATCCCGTTTTGCGTTTTGTTTTTTTTGAAAGAAATACCTTGCTCGAAGGTGTCGTATAGTTATGAAACAGTGGAAAAATAAACATTCATCACATGCAGAAAAATAAGTGACTAGAAATATTGATTGAGATGTCATTTTATTCAATACTAGCTGGCTTACCCGGCTCCGCCGTATTTGGACCAAACTTGGCACACATACACTTCGGGCCCCGGCCGGTGTCACAGTCCACTTTTCGTTATCGATCGATGTCGATTTTACCGATTTTTATCGATTTTTTCGCAGAGTTCACCTACAGGGCTAGGAGTTGGCACAGGGGGGGGGAAGTTGGGGATTCCGAATACAATAATAGTTTTCAGAATTATGGATTACTTTTATTGATTTTATCGATTTTTTGTAAATTTTGACATGCGAGGCTGGGATTTTGCACAGGGGGGTAATCGAGCATGCTGATTGCGAACACAATATTAGTTTTCAGGATCGTCCATTACTTTTATCGATTTTATCGATTTTTTTGTAAAGTTTGACCTGCGGGGCTGGGAGTTTGCACAGGGGGGTAATCGAGCATGCAGATCACCCCCCTAGCTCAAACTTTGCAAAAAAATCGATAAAATCGATAAAAGTAATCGATAATCCCGAAAACCAATATTGTATTCGGAATCCCCATGCTCGATTACCCCCCTGTGCGAACTCCCAGCCCCGTAGCTCAAACTTTGCAAAAAAATCGATAAAATCGATAAAAGTAATCGATAATCCTGAAAACCAATATTGTATTCGGAATCCCCATGCTCGATTACCCCCCTGTGCCAACTCCCAGCCTCGTAGGTGAACTCAGCAAAAAAATCGATAAAAATCGATAAAATCGATATCGATCGATGACGAAAAGTAGCCTATGACACCCGCCGGGGCCCGAAGTGTATGTGTGCCAAGTTTGGTCCGGATCGGTTCAGAAATGGAATTTTCTATTCGGAACATACGTACACACATACATACATACATACAAACAGACATTCAGCTTTATATATAAGATTACCCTAATTTCACGCGCATAAGGCGCGGGGGATTTTTTTTCCAAAATCGACCCCCAAATACGCCAAAGAACTTCGCAACCAAAGGAGCCTATGCCTTGCTGTATATTGCTTGAAGAATCGTAAGGCATAAGGATCTCTTTCCGAAATAATTTAAGGCGGCTGAGAGGCTTAGTCGAAAAATCGAAAAAGGTGCGCCTTGTACGCGTGAAATTAGGGTATATGCAGATCACACAGGCACTGACTGAAGTACTCGATCTCTTCTGTAAATCCGGAACTCCGCAATTTCGGGGGTGTCGTATAGTATGAAACGCACTGTATTAGCCAATGCAGGCGTCACATTACTCATTCGCAGTCGAGAATCTTTTGCCCCTACCGTACCTTAGTACGTTCTTGCTCAAAAAGAGTACGATATGGGTAAACTAAATTTTTGATCATGACTATATGTTGTGAGCTACTGGGATACTGACTGGAAGGCTCTAGCTGATATAAAGCTCAAATGCGTACATATGTTCACAGGCCCAAAAATTTCAAATCTTAAACTTTCGCCCACCACCGTACGTTGCATGGTTAGAAAGAGTACATTACTGGGAAAAAGAAATGGCAACTTGGCATACTACTGACCTGCTACCTTCTTTCAACTTCACTTTTTCAGCAGCCGAAGAAAACAGACACCGGTACTCCTTCAGCAAAAGAAGACGCCTCGGTGAGTAGAACTATGCACATCCTATCATGACTTATAATGCGCTAAGCATATGTCTTTTGTGCTCATGTGTATGTCTGTCTGTCACGAAAATCGTAGAGCGAGCTTCGGAATGTATTGAAAATTTTTGTACAGTGCACGCTTGCAGCGTCCAGGCACCCTGCGCATGGCGAATGGAACGGATGCACGGGTCCTTCAAAATTGGCACCTAGATCGGGTCCATCGGCTTTTGACACGCAAAACTGTATCGCTGATTCAAATTTTTGCAACGTCATATATATAAATGACAAATAATTTTGCGAGCCATGTATTTTAGAAAAATTCTCAAGAAGTCTCTCTTTTGCTAAAACAGCGCCAAAAAGGATTGATTGCGTAAATAATCGATTAATCAAAGTTAGCTAATAATTTGAAAAGATTTTTGCACAGAGATGTAGCCCATGGTGTTGCTTATCTTTATGGGAACAACGGCGTTGAAACAAATTCGGTAATTCATTCGAACTCGCATTTGTTCTTCCACAGAAAATTTTCTTCTCCCAAAATCAGACCTTATATAAAAAAGCTTTGAAAATGAGCAATTGTTTACAATTCCTTTGTAATTCTCAGCAATGCGCGGTAAGTTTCAAAGTCATTATTATGCGATCATGATGAAGGCATACGGATGGTATAGCCAGTGCGAACCTCTGCGAAGCAGAGGTGATGCACTTGTAATTTATAATACTAATCTTGTTGAGGTTCTCGCTGTCTCTGGCGCTCATTTGGACTCTTCAGCTATAGCTAGCAGTTTAGACAATGCAGTCAACATTGCTTCAGGACGAGTAAGTGATAAGTCAGAAGTAAAAGAGTCCAACTGTCTTATAAAAGTGATGCCTCTACACAATATTTTATTTACATTTGCTTTGCTTGTTTTTTCTTCACAGAACTGCTTATCGTTCTCTAAGTAATGCTAAACGTGGCAGTGTAACTGACTTAGAGCGGTAAAACTGTTAGTGTTATTCAGTTTTATTTTGTTGACCCAATGCCTTGGAGTTCCTCAGTTCTTCTGAATTCTTTCCTGTATATGCGTCAAATGTCATGATTTATATCGACTTTCGTAAAAGATTTGCCTGTCTGTGAAGTGCGAGAAGTCATATTAGAAACCCGTTTTGAATGGCTTGTTTGCATGGAAAGGCGAGCAGAGCAATTCAAAAAGAACATGAGATGATTTATGATATAAAGTCAAAAATAGATGTGATATGATTGCAAATATGTTGCAGACTGGTGGAGTGGCAAAAGTTTCACCCAACGGAAGACTATACTTAGACCGCACAGTTCAACTAAAACTGGAGGTGGAGGATCCAAAAGTGGAAAACCGATAACTATCTGCAAATCTAGGTTCAATGAGGATACTTAATAAAAGATATTGTGTATTGACATCCTGTTACTATATCGGTTTTCGTAAAGAGGACGCTGTGATGTCTATAAAGTTGCTCGTGATGTAATAAGCTGCAGTTTAATGAGTAAATCTGTACATAATGAACTAGTTCCTACATTCTTGAAAGATGTTTTTGTCAATACGAACTACATTTGCGAAACTATTAAACGCAGTGAGTCTCATGTGCGTTGTATACTCGGACAAATGACCGGAACTTCTGCAGAAAAAGTTCCGCCGGGTTACCTGCGGAAGTCCCGTAAAGGTGCTTGGAAGTTCCGAAGAATGCCAACCATAACAGCAAAAGAGAACACCGAGGCGAGATTTGAACCTCACTCTATTGAGTGTGAGACCCACCTATATCCTCTACGTTACGGCTGACATGTTCGATAATGCATTCTAGTTGTTGGCGAGGCAACATCACGAGACAATACATTTAAAGTCCTGCGGAAGTTCTGGCAGGCCAAAGTGCTGCGGAACTCTGGCACTTTTCGAAATTTCCGCAGGATTTTGAAGAAGTGGATTTTGCGGAAGTTTCGGTTTTCAGCCAGTTTGGCATGAAAATCCCGCGGAAGTTCCGATTTTCGACGTTTTCATTTTTGCAGTAGTGGACAAAATCCTGCGGAACTTTTGCAAATTTGGCTTACCCTGCGGGAGTTTCGGTGATTTGTCTGAGATAACAGACGCAAACGATTCATCCTTAAATAATGCTTTATTTAACTCGAGCAACTTTTGACGCATGCAGATACTTCTTGAATCAAAAAACGGAAACTGCTCGGAAACTCCACAGAAAAAATGCAAAAAAGAAGAAGAAAGAGTAAACTATGTTTTCTGTATATCAACAGTAGATATATGTATCCCGCCCTAAATCGCCAGTGCGATATGGAACCGCTTCCTGAAGGGTGGAGGCCATGCTGTTCAGCAAAGTTTAGATTAACCATAAGAAGCATTTGCCATGCCATTTGCCATTTGTCTGACGTTAGAGTCAACTTATACACAGCACTTTTAGGACTACTGAAACTGAGTACAAGCTGATGTTGTAGTCTGGGAGCGTTCTACTCTAATTATTATGCTTTTATCTGTTATTATCGAAAATATATGGTTACAAAGTGCGAAAACAGGGGTTTATTATGGTGCAAAAAACTTTCTTCGTTTGCCTGGAAAAGATGGGAAAGGGAAACTAGAAACTTCTGAGCGGTAAAGCATAGCGTTCGCCACTTTTTTGAAAAAAAAATCTTGGGATGCTTTCTAGGATTTTCGCGGACTCATAGAAAGGAAGCGTAATCGTAAATCAAATTTTCAAAAAAAAAATTTAAAAATTTATCAAATTTTCAGGTAAACCCAAGTCACATCATGCACAGTATTCTTACTCATATAGTACACTTCCAGGACTTTGCAACCTAACCTTCGCTCCCCTCCCGCCCCCATCCCCCCAAAAAAAAGGCCTCTGCTGAGCGTTTTGAAAAATTTAACTGCGAAAGGGTTTGCTCTCCATATGAAAGACTGAATGTTGAGCTTTGCATTTTTTCTTGGGTTTTTTTTTCTTCTCGAAATCATTTTTTTACGTATTGCTGCTGTTTTTGTAGTGAGCAAAGATGATTCTTAAAATCAAAACTATTTATTAGGCACGAAATAAAATAGGTGCTACATGATTATGGAACTTCCGAAGCCTTCTTGCTCTTTTTACTCTTTTTCCCTAAATTTTGATCAAGGAATGTGGACAAGGTTATAGGAGTCTCAATTATTTTACCCTTTTTCTTTGATCTGGATTTCTTCGACTTTCTTTTTTTCTTTCGTTTTCTTTTCGATTCTGATTCTGAAAATTTTGTTTGTATTTCATGTCCACTACAATACCACCCGTAAATTGCGAAAAAAATTGGCGGCGGCACTTAGCTCATTTTTATGACACTCGCATTGCGTATATGTTCGCTTCGCCCAAAGACTCCCACTGTATTGAATATGGTACTTGCGTATGCTTCAGCTGCTCACTTGAAAATCAAAGCTATTTCGGTGGGTAGAACTCAAACTACTAAATCTAACACAATGAGATCCATTAACGATTTGAAAAGATTTGATCAACGTGTTGCATAAGCACTCACGGTGGAATTTCGACGAAATATGCGATCTTTACATTTTGGGGAAAATTCATAAAGATGTGTTTTCGTAAGCTCGTAACTCGGCGATTTCTGTAGAGTGGAGTCTAGGGCATGCACCTTCGATGGCACAATTCCTAGTAACTTTGAATTAGAAAAGCAAGCAGGCAAGTTTTCTGACAGATACGCGAGTGCGGGCAAATTTACGCACTTTCGTGATGCAGTTACAGTCACCTCACGTATCTCTCCAAAAAGACCCTGTAATCCTCTAGGACCACGATTTTCGTAAAGAACATGTTAGAAAACCCCTATAAGCGAAGTTTTTTACAATTTAAGAGCATGAACATTTTGACCAAAATCCATCGGCGAGCTTCCAGAGCGTAAAACGAGAAAAAATGAAATTACCCGAACATCTCGGAAAACTTGCTCATAAGGGTTATCCGACCTGCTGATTACGAAAATCACATCTGCTTAGCAAGAGACCTTCATATTTTAAAGCTACGGTGAGAAAAGAAGATTTACCTTGATGAGCTGAGCACAATGCTTTTTTCGGATTCAGAAAATTTCCACTCCAAAGAAAGTTACGGCGAGTAGAATATGGAAACGAGTGATTTCTCCAGAATTTACCAACGCTTCTTTCTCTTTTGGAAAGAAGTCTGCGGCAGCTTTCTAGCGCACTATAATGTACTAGAAGAGTACTATCGAATGGTACTTACTGGAATCTTTTATGTTGGCGCTGCGTTACATACTTGCGAAGGGACCTCCTCAGGAAAATTTGAGAAAACTAGAAACGAGATATAGATGACATTAAGTATGTCAAAAGATTCGCCTTGACGAGCTGAACACAATGCTGCTTTCGGACTTAGAATATATTCATCCCGAAGGAAGTTATGGCGCTGCATAATTTGCGATATTCCGGAATCGCGAAATTTCTGGAATTTCGCGAAATTCCCGTTCTGTGGGTGGTATTGTACATTGCACAGCACGCGCGGCATTCCACGATATGTGCTTCTCATGCGATTTCCAACCATTCCCCTTTGTCTTCCTGCATTTTGGGACCCGTCATACTTCGCCGAGAAAAGCCCAGTTTTACACATATCCGTGCAGAATGAGCTCTTAAACTATAGCCACCCTATTTCTGCAGTGCTCAACAGAATGTGTAATTAGCCTCTGGAATCAGCACACTGAATGATCCATTTACACTACAATTCCAAGAACACCTATATCCCACAATTAGGCACATCTGTACACTGGAAGATACGCCTCGATGAGCTGAGTTGAATGGTACTCTTATATATAGAATTCATAAATTTTGAATCAAGATAAGGTCTTTTTTATAAAAAAGTTAGGCGTTGCGCGACAAAGTTAGGCGGCAAGTGCCGCTTTTCCGCCTAATTTTGTCGCGCGACGCGGCGCTTGTCACCTAACTGCGGCGGCGCCGCGTGAGTTAAGTGCCGCCCCCAATTTTTTTCACAAATTACGGGTGGTATTGTATAGCGGCATCTATCTGACTTAAAGCTCGACACGAGGTGGCTTTCCGAAAATGCAAAGAATCCCCCCCCCCCATCCTCTCCTCCGCCCCCCCCCCCTCCTCCGACCTTTCTTACTTTCGCAAAAGATTACAATGTCCATTTTGACCTTTATCTTAAAACCCTAATCCACTAATAAACGAAACGACGACTAAAAATACCCAATTTCCGATCCTCAAAAATAAAATTCCCTTTGTTTTTTGTCCGACAAACGATATCCATCTTGTTCATAAGCCACCTGTGACGAGCCCTGATCTACTTACGTTTTCCTTCAGCGCTTCCTCCATCTCCGCCGCTAGAAGATGACTGAAATTTAAGTGCAGTGAGCAAGCGTTGGGTGTTTGTTATGACGTAAAATCCAAAGCAATTTCTACATTCTACTTCGCTTATTGACGTGGGAGAAGAATACAGCAAAAGTAGAAGAAAAAGTATTGAGCTTAGTACCGTTCGCAGTAGCGCACTGTCTGTTTTTCGTTACAAGCGATGATGTTTAAATTTGGATATTTGAAAGTGTATTTAACAAGAGTTACTTTTTTGCTTTTACTTGATAACTACTTCTCTTGTTTACGATTTTTTCTTCCTCTCAATCCGAGATATAGGTCCAACTTCAGGCATAGGAAAAGTTAGCCTGACGCGACTGTCGAAAATACTCAACACGCTTTCCTTCTCTTTGATCAACTTATTTGGAGTTTATTGATCTCAAGTTTCACTGATTTCTTTGCGACACACTAGCATTTAACCCCTTATTTTTATTACTAACTCTTTTAATGATGAGATAGACTACAAGCTTACATTTAAATGGTTTATAGAAAATGCTGATAGCGTAAACCCGTTGTTGTAAGATCACTATTAAATAATTTTGTTATTATTTACCTACGTTCTACTTAGAAATATGATTCGCAAACAACTAGCGATTTTTTTATGACACAGATTTTCATGCTATCTGCTTGTTGGGAAGATTTAAGTCAGAAGTTTAGTGAACCAGAGTTGGTGTGACAAAAAATACCGACACTAAAGGCTCTCAAAGATTGAAATTTTGGATTTGATGCTTTTTAGCTTAAAAATCTTTGAGAAACTTTTCATCACTGCTTTTCCGAACCTCTCTCCACTCAATGACCTAATCAAAACCGATAGCCAAATATTATAATCAAGAGTTCCCGTCAGTCTCAAGCTGAAAAGGCGTAAGTCTCTAATTTTTAGATCAAATTTATTCTCAAACCTGGGCCACTACTAATCTACCCTAATCGGTAATATAGATGTCAAGTTGGCTGACATCGCGGAAAGTTGCCAACTCCGATGTTAGCTCGCTATTGGTTATTGTTGATAGTTTCATATTGTCTTAATCCGCAATCACTCTCTCCACAATGATTTTGACGATGCAGTTTTCCGCAAAACAATCCACCCGTTCGCCCTGCAATCGTCGCCTTCTAGCGCGAGTTCGCTAACCAATAGACTAATCGTTCACATATTGTTATTCGCAAAACAATAGCAGGAACGCACAAATAGGTGGCGAGTATAAAAGAGCTTGATCGAAAAACGTGTGTGTTAGCCTTGAGAACTGGAACAACAGCTGACAGATATGAACAATGATGAGACGGAATTGTTGCAAAGGAGGTTATAAAGAGCTTACAAAAGAATCCGATCCTGCTAAGGTTTTGTGATAATTCAAACACTTCTCCTTTATTTATCTATTCAATCAGAAAACCCCAAATAACGACAAAAACGACGATATTTTGGTAAAAAGTAGAAGTTTTGGATTTATTTGCTTGGCGTAAATTGTGTGATATGCCGCACTACCCAAGCTCGCAGACGCCGCCAGCAAGATGCCAGCGTCTCGATATGGTAGGGGCACGTCCAGATGCTAACGCCTTTCTCTCACAAAAGAGCACATTGTTTGTGTTTCTCGCCGACACCTCCCGCCGACAAGGTGCCGACAGGTTAGTTCGCGAAGCTTGCCAGCAGCACCTCCTGACCTCTCTAACTTCCTTCTATAGGGGATTTTCAAAATCTCAAATTTCAGTGCAGGTTTCTTCAAAGTCCCTATGGCATCCTCAACAGGGCGATTTTTGTATTAAGCGTTTACCTTTAAGATGTGAGAACCAAGTTTCCAATGACCTCATCGAGCTGAGGGTGGGTTGATGGGAGACCTACCGCCAGTTTGGGAGTTGCTGCCGGCCCTGCAGTAGAAGCGCAGAGCTCGATACTAAGTGGACTGTAGGCGTTTAGGTTGATTGATGTCTGTTATATTAGGTTGATGCATAATTCCTGCACCAAACTAGGTACAGAGCGCAATAATCCGAAATTCTCCTACACTCTATATAGGATTCTATATATCATTAGATAAAGCAAACCTGGCTCTACAAGATAGTGCTCAAAAATCTACACCAGCTTTGATCCACGCGAAGTTTTGCGCCAAAAACTAAAAAAAACCATGCCTTCGAAAACCTTAAGACAGATCTAAACAAAATTGTAACTCCGTTAAAAAACCCCTGCAAAGATTCTTTCTTGCTCACGCGTAGACGTTCCATGTAAGACATCTATCTATGCAGTTGCTGTAACTTTTTCTCAGCTAGACAATGAGAAAACGAAGTTTTTCATGTTTTTGCCAAATTAGTGCTGAGATGTTCTAACATTGACAGTTGTATATTACATACCATTAGCAGTAAAATTTTACAATTTTCAGCCTTCTAGAAGAACTAATTCACGAGAAATATCGATTCTAGCTCTCTTTATCCGAATTTTTCTTGCCTTGTTGACAAAAATTCGATATTTCTCGTAAACCAGCTGCTCTAAAAAGCTGAAAATTCACGCACATGCTTCTAAAGTCCTGTAGTATACAACTGTAGGTGCGAACATCCCAGCATTGTTCTGAAAAAAACATGAAAAACTACGGTTTTTCAGTTTCTAGCTGAGAGAAAAATACAGCAACTGCATAGAAATATGTCTTAGACGAAATGACAATGCATGAGCAAGTTAGAAATTTTCAAGGATTTTTCTGAATGGACTTTCAATTTTTTCTTGGGTTTTTGGGGCACTTGGATCTTTTCGGTTGCAGCTTTAATTTTCGCGTGGATCAAAGCTGCTGCAAAACTTAAAGCACCATCTTGTAGAGCTAGGTCTGCTTTATCTAATGATGTATCGAACCCTATTTGGGATATTGGATTATTCCGGATTATTGTGGTCTGTACCTATTTTGGTGCAGGAATTATGCATCAGCCTGATAGAAACTATCTTTAGATAGACTAGCTTAAAAATCCTCGTTGCAAGCTTTCAGTAGCTGGATTAGAACGTTCATATAATACATAGTAAAACGAACTTAAGAAATTCGCATCAAGTTAACTTTGATATGTACCACCTCGCTTGTACTAGACATAAGTCTTTTTTCGCAGATAAACGGCTTTTGTTTATCCAGTTCAAGCGCTTGAGTTGTTCAGGCTTTTTTCGGTTAGCAATTGAATCGCTATAAAACGTACCTCTTGTGCGTTACTTTTGGCTTTGTTCGCGTCTTCTGGAGGCTGAAAAACAGTTGTTATGAAAGACTCGTTTCATTTTTCACTGCTTGCACTGCAAGTACGCTCAGACGACATAAATTTTGATTTGGAAATCCAGAGCAGACAAGCAACCTCGAGTGTTATGATTAATCGCTTCGCCCTCGCTTGCATTTCTTTTACAGTACTTCGTGCTTTCCCTCAAGCTAGTCATATGATATTAGAGATTGTGTTGAATTTTTTCGCGCTGTTTATGTAAGATACTTGCACTTTTCGGATGTGAAGTGTTAAGAGTAAGAAGTTCTCGATAACAAATTTATCGCAAAAACTTCTTACTTTGTAGCAGAATGTCAGGTTGTAGACGGTAGCTATCATGTAAATCTTCGTTAATTCAAATCCCCCTAAGATGCACAAAAACTATTTGATTGTAACATGTGTCCGACGAAGCCAATGCTAGGAGGAAAATAATCTCTGTAATTACCGAGAAGAGAGCAAAACAGAACATACGAATTTCGACAAAGTGTGCGGTCTGTACTGACACTAGTACCGATCCTTTATGCAAGGGAAATACAGAACGTCAAAGGTGCTAAAAACTGATCGCAAATAGAGAACGTAGTTTGACCATGCATGATAACGTGCTAAGAAATGATTTGTGAACAGATGCGCTACGTTGATCCACGCAGAAGCATCCGGTGTAGAGCTTTGAAAACACAAACTTGCTGCTCTGTAAGTTCTCAGAAAAATGCTGTTTGATTACAAGTGATGTTCAAGTGCCTCGAGTTTTGACTTTTTTTCATACTATTTTACATTCTACTAAATTTGGTGGCATGCACAAATCAACTTTTTGAATTGTGCATGACCAAACTGCAATGACTGCTTCAAAAAAGTGTACCTTAGAGCCAATTTCTTGCGCTGTGTTCACATCCTTGGTTGGCTGAATATCGTACAATTTGTATTCACTAGTGCTATGGTTTGCTGGTTCCTTTAGTTACCTGGTCGACAATTTCATTTGCTGTTTTCACGCCTTCTGTGGGCTGAAAATGGCGGTTATTATTAAATACGGTTCAGGAATTGTGGGGCACATTTGTTAGCTTTACCGCATACCTTCGATAGTCAAGAGACAGAGGCTAGAAAGTGATAGTTGTTTGAGTTTTTGCCCCCTATGGAAAGTGAAGGTTGTTCCAGAAAAATAAACGAAAATTTAGAGTTATAAATTAAATTAGAAAACTTAGAAAATTCATATAAAGCAGAGGTTAGCACATCACCAAAACTGAAACCTTAACTTGGTGGTTTCCTACGCAGAGTTTCGTCTCCAGGATTGCTGGTTAAATTGGGTGGCAACAACAACAAAGTTCTTTTCCAGTCAAAAAAAGCGCTGTTTGGCTGTGGCGTTAGTTGAGAGACCGAAAGAAGAAGAACTTGTCAACAACTGAATTGAACATGTTAAACATGTCTGTAAAGTTGTGTTGCACATCGACGCCAATCTGATTTTTGATGCGTCCTTTAAATTTTCACCCCCGCATAGTCGTTTCGTACGCTGCGACGTTGTCTAGATTCTTCCGCTCATCATTCTGAGCAAGTATCGTCCAAGCTGGAAAAAATTTGCTGCAAAAGCACAGAAAGAGAACAAGGTAAAGAAAAACGCACTTTTTTGTATTTTTCACAAAAAAACCGGCATAAGCAAAGAAGTAAACTCGGCGACGTTGTCTACATCATAGACAGAAACAAGACCTATCGAATACACAAAAAAAACCGAGTGAAAAAAGTTAAACTGAAGAAAAAACAAGAGGTTTTCGAAAACGCCGTTTTTCGAGGATTTCTCGTTTAAATCCTAAAAAGAAGTTCCGCGACGTTGTCAGCGTGAAAATAGAGACCAAGAGCTTTAATATGATATATAAATTATCGAAATTGGACTCCGAACAACGAAGAAAAGGGTACCAGAGCCAAATGCCCCGCGCCCCGCATTTGAGGTAGCGAGGTAGCGCGCAGCGCGCCGAGACGCAGACGAGCAGCGGAGACAGACCAGAGCCGACGGGGCATTTGGCTCTGGTCGTAGATCTTCGCAGGGTCTCAACGAAACCCTGCAACATTATATATCGTTGTGATCCTCATAAGACGGCCAGGAGCACTGACAACGTCGCGGGTCTTGAAAATCACTCCATAACGAAATAGACCAGCATTCATATGGCGACTCTTTGCGCAAGATTTGAGCGCAGTTTTTCGTTTTTATTGAACTCTAGCGGCTTTAATGAACTTCCAACATTCAACCGCAGTTCAGAGAAAGAATTGAGAAATTTTGCCCTAGTTTTTGATTGAATTTTTAAATAAAAACTTTCTTCTCAACAAAAAAGGCCATAAAATCGCAATCCTTCGGTTTTTTTGAGCTTCTTTTGAATGTCACTGCTATATTTGCCTCATTTAAATTCATCCCTATACGGTTTTGTCATTAGTTATGTCATAATTTCCGGGGCTTCGCCCCGGATGACTTGTGTACTTCTCCCCAGGTGAAGGTTGTGTTCTATCATGACGCTCAAAGTGAAGGTTACCAGAGTACATGGCTCTATGTATCGAAGGTATGCTTTACCGGCAGGGCATGCCCGTATAGCTAAGAAGTTAAAGCACGGCTTTACTTGGTTTTAGATGTTTTGCAATTTAAAGGATTGTTTCGCATGTTGTCACTTGCACAGAAAATGCTAATTAATTGTGCACTTGCGCTCTCTTGGTCCATAGAAGTTGGTACACGAAAGCACCAGCGCAAACAATTTTTTTCAAATTTTGAAGGCACTACCTTGTCCACTATTCCTTGTGCAGTTGACACTCCGGTAGTTGGCTAAAAAAAATCATAAAGACAAACTATAATTATTATTATGCGATACTAGGCTCGCATTAACACAATTTTTGTTGTGCCAAACTTTTATAGGTCAAATAATGAAATAGAGTGAGAAACTGACATACCTCATCTGGAATTCGCTTTGCTGTCGCTACGTCTTCTGAGGGCTGAAGTTGAATTCAATAAAGATGAAGACACAATACCACAAAACAATGTGGAGCTGTCATTGCAAATGCTGGGTGGAGTTTTTGTACTTCTAGTTTTGTGTTAAGAAGCCTCGTATGATCTTGTCTGTCGTTTTCATTTTTAGATTTAGATATTGTTCTTGAATGTATATGAATGAATGTGAATGTTACATATCAACGTATTGTAACATACAGCAAATACTAGAGTGAAGTCGATACTCCACGCACAAACATATGATATAGATGAGGAACCACAAAGGAGTGCTTTTTGACATGCTAATCTATCTTGTGGTTTGTGGTTTACTCTTTCGCAAATCGAAAACTTAAGAAAATCATATGTCAAAGCGATAGATGGCGCTCCATTATTTGGCAGCTGCCAATCCGATCTAGAGAAAAGAATTATGCTGCGAGATATGCGTGCTAGTATTTAGCTTTCACGTTGACTGATTAGAGTAGTTAACAATGTTAGATTGAGTTGATCGGTCATGATCGCTTGATTGTAATATGTAAATGGGAAATCAAAATCTCAACTTTTGCTAAAATTTCAGATAGCGAGGGAATGTATTTGACGTGTTACATAGATATGTTAAGCACTTTCGAAATGATTTTGCAAAGAAGAAAACAAATTGAGACAACTATATCTACGTCTAGTAACCCTTACAACATATAACAAAGAAACAGCAGCAAAAATTGTAAACACTTCTTCACTTGTGGCTGTTTAAACTGTATTTTGCTTGACTATCTGCCAAGTTTCAAAAAGGTGGTAGAATTTCAGCTGACAACCATAAAGATATTATGTGAGGGGTCTAAACATGAATGTATGCCTGTCACGAGACCGTCACGAATTAAAGGATTGTATCTTTTAAGACAGGGTAGTTAAAATCTAGGTTGAGCAAAAATCAAAGTCCTGAAGCGGCAAAATTCTCACAAACTCTATGTAAAACTCAAAGTTTATTTTAAATGTGTACGTTTTTGACACAGCTTTCTGTGAGTAGAGCGATTGAACTAAAACTTTGCACACATACGTTTTCGACTTCGGCTGGCGATGATTCAATGGGTCCTTCCACCGATTCACTAGTTCGTTCACTTGCATTCAGGTGATTAAAACCTACCACAGTAAAATTAGGAGCGCTGAGCGCAGGTCTAAAGCAGGAGCAGGAGAGAAGAAGGCGAGAAGCACCAGAAGAAAGAAGAGCAAAGGCAAAGAACTGTAGAGGTAAACCTCGGAACGGTTTGAGAACAAGCAGAGCTTTCTGTCGGGTTAATAAGATTGGCGGTTCTGGCAGGACCGGGAAGACCAGTTATACTGTCATATTTACTGGCTGCATTGCAAGCAAGTGATCAAATGCTTTACCTTGTCAACTACTTCTTTCGCTGTGGTGACACCTGCGGTAGGCTGCAAAACTCTCGTGTTATTCCCAAATTTTTACTGGCTTCAAGTAACCACTCAATCGTTTTACCTGGTCAACTACTTCTTTCGCAGTAATGACGTCTTCGGATGGCTGGAATGATGTGGCTAGGATATCCGTGAGTGGAAGTGAGAAGTAATCTCACCTTTTCAGCTTCGCCTGCTTCTGGGCCTTTTTCTTCCTAAAAATGCCGTAAATCATTACCCAATTTCCATCTTTGATTGGTGAAGGCTTTACAGCTTATTCAGCGTTGTAAAGGAAGAATACCCGTGCTTTACGGTGACTTTTATAAAATCAGCGGTTCGCTAATTCTTTGCAGGCTTAGCCTGCTATGTTCTTCTGGCTGGAAACCAACGACCTACTACAAAAAGGCGCAATTGTCTGTCTTTTAATAAAGCAAGTTACAAGAAAGCTCTCTGGAAAAAGAATTATGCATAAGTTCACGGCTTATCAACTGCAGTGTCTGGAGCACCACCATCTCCGCTTCAGCGCGGCCTTTTCGCCTGGACTCTGCACCTCTTTCGCGAACATGCTCTCTGATCACTTCCAACCGCTAGCGTGGGAAAGGAGGAGCCTCAATCGGTTGGATATGTTTGGAGAGCATGTTCGCGGAAGAGGTGCGGAGTACGCGGGAGTGGAGATGCTGGTGCACCGACATTGCAATTGATAAGCAGGGTCAAGCAAGAGGTGTAACACACAATCGCTGGTTACGACCCTCCCACCCCCCCCCCTGCTCTTATTGCTGTCTCAATATTACCCCTGAACTATATGCCTAAAATAGCATTACTTGTAGGCCCTGCCAAACATGACGGGCAACATATTTATAATTGCATGCCAATTAACCCATGTAAACAATGTTTGAGCGAATTCTGAAGTTTCAAGATACTGGATCACCTAATTAAAATCGCCATTTTCCAGCATGATTAACTTTGTTTGAAAGGTGGAGTAGCTAGCTGTTTTTGCACTTAAGACAAAGCACTACTCCTTCTTTGGCCACTTCAAAAATCACTCATCAAAAGACCTAACTTTGGAATTGGAAGCCAACCAAAATCTTGTTTTTCCTATTTTTCGCTTTTAATGGCTGTTGTCTCACCAAATATTACTCAGAGCTAGAGGAATCAGGCTCAAATCACTTTTATGAAATCTAGGATGTCTATGCTATCGATTCATATAAATAACGTTTGCTAAAGTTGTTTTTTGATATAGTTAATGAGGTGTGGCACCACCCCTAAAAAGCTGTGACTGCCACAGCTTTTTAGGGGTGGTGCCAACACCCCATTAACTTACCTTCAAACAGATCAAATAGCTGCGTTTTCTATATCGTTGTTACAGCTTAACCTTTTTCTTTATATAGAAGAAATTTCATACGAAAACGTTTCTTTAAAAGCAAGACATAAACGTTTTTCCTTACCTATGCAAATGTAAAATACTGGTAAAATAGTGCGAGAATATTGGGATACGGTAACATGCTAAGTCTGCGCCACTAAGTGAATCGCAAGGGAAGGCGACAAGAATGTATATATTCGATAGCAAGCCTTGTAATCCATTAAAGTGATATGGATTGGTCTTCTCTAGCCTGAGATATCAAAAACAATAAATGGAACAAAAGAGATTTTGGCTTGCTCTTTATTCCTTATTTTGGAAATCATTTAAAGTAGGATTCCTAATGTGGACAAAGAAATGGTAATTCTTTGTACTAAGCGCAAAAGGAATTAGTTAATTTACCTTTGAATCAAGGTAACATGATTGAAAACGACCATCTCACCTAGATGGTCCTGTATTTGGAAATGTCAGAATTCGCTGCTCGGACCACAGGGGTTATTTTACTTGTTAATTACAAAACGATGCTCTTATGCTTTATACAGGGTGTCCCAAAAGTCCTTAAGCCTGATTTTTCAACGTAGTAACTTTGTTAGTATTCCTCGCTTTTCAGCCAAATTTTGCCTTTGAGTTCTTCGTCTAGTTGCCAATATTTGTCAAGAAAATCATACCTTTTCCATTGTACATTCTCGAAATATAATTCTTGAAGCAAACAATACTACAATCGTGAAGACAAGCCGAAGGAAACGTACCCCTAATCAAATATTTACAGCTCTTTTGCCTTTGGAGCTCTTGTGGATTTTCAAACTGCATATTGTAGAGCTAAGTTCACTCTACATTTACAGTGCAACGCCAATCAATAGCCTTCGTTCATTAGAGTAGGATTAGGATACAAACACTGAAGTTGTGCCGTGCCAATGAGAAATAAAAGTTCTCGGAAACAAAAACCTGGAAAAGCTGGAAAGTCCAGCACCAAATCAGCTTCAGTCACTAATTCTAGCTGTGAGCCCTGCATTTCCTACTGAAATACCATTTTAAAGTCATTCTCGGTACACTATAATTGCTGTTTTCTTGGTGTTCTCAACCACTTGAATGCTACATTTTGACACTTTTGTCAAATCCACAGATATGCTTCTCAGATTTACGTGCCTTCAATAGCCGGGTCAAGAGGCCCTTGACTTTTCTTTGTAATCAGTAACGGAAAACAAGGTTTGCTCTATTCCATGCTAAATTTTGGACAGTCTGGATTGCTTGCTTCAGAAGGTGGAGACAATCTCGATGTCAACTACCTGGCTGCCATGGTGCATGCATTCCGCAAGCGTCTGAGAACCTGTGTACAGGCCAAAGGAGGGTTTTCCGAAATCTGAGTGTATCATGTTATTTTTTAGGCTCTTCGCAAATTCTCTGCTGAATTTCATGCGTCTATGTTGCTTCGTGCATTTTCAGCGGAGGAAATAATAGGCTCAAAGACTTTTGGGACACCCTGTAGATCTTTAGTTATGCTTACTGTACGTATACGATAATGTGTCAAACATATGTGTTAGTATTTTGCGTGACTGACCCAATTGACATTGTTAACTAATATCGATAACGATAACGCTTTACATCCTTCTTAGGCACCGGGCAGAGTTCAAGCGATTTTCTCTTCGCGATTGATCGCGACAAGACAATTGTAACAATATTATTTATTTATTTATTTATTTATTTATTTATTCCATATGCTGTAGGCGTTCCTCAAAAAGAACAAAAACACACAGCTACTCACACTCTAACCACGATAGTTCATCATGTAGTCTGGGTCTAACCTTTCGGACTGGATTATTAAAAGTTGATGAAAGCCTGTTTGTGACTGCTCTAAAACTGTAGTCAACAGAATCGAATTAGTGTGTTTCATGGAGATAGTACCCATGCACCCTTTTTTGCCAGCAAAACAATTTTGATTTTAACAAGCAAACGGCTTGATGGTGTAGTGATTATTGCATGCCGATCTTTTTTCATATCGTTTGTGAGAGCTTTCCAATACGACTCATCGTGACTAACTATCACAACCGAAATACAAGAAGATCGGCATGCAATAAACTCGTAACACTTGCCTTGTAGCGATTGAATCGCGACGATCATATCTCGTGAACTTTTTCCGAGGCCTTAGAGACTAGCAGGAGCTTCAAAGCGCCTACGCTAACTGTCGGAACTGTCCAGCATCGTCCAAAAGTAAACTAGACCCGAATATCGTACTTACAGGTTTAGCCGCAGTAGGTGGAGGTTTGGCGGTTACGGGTGCTTTCTGAACTCAACTATATTGGCAAATCTCTATGTAAGCAGAAAGTACTTACTTGTTCAGCCGCAGTCGGCGGAGGTTGTGCAGTTACTACAGATTCTTTCTGCAACATAAACTTTAGTATTCGACATAAATCGCTAACCTCATTATACCAACTTCAGGTTGCTCGCCTTTTTTGGCCTGAATGAGCTATTTTATGTAAGAACATAGGATGCTGACATCGGCACACCTGTTGCTGTAGATAGACATACAGAAGGATACAAATTGCTATCGCAACGATTAGTAGAAGCATGTTGCTACCACATACAAGCTAAGAATGAAACTGTACACAGCAGTCGGTTAAACTGACTTTGTGCAAAAACATTTTCTACTTCCAGCCAAAATCAGCATTTCATGTTTGTAGGCACTGTCATGGAATTCGGTTGAATGAATAAAAGTCAAGATTCAAGCGTGACCAAGCAAAAGCGTTTGAAAGGATTAGAAAATGTAGATTGAGCATGTAACCACGAAGCGGCCAGCAACCATTACTTGTTGTTCTTCATTTGCTTACTGTGCAGGACGTCGGGAATCCACAGACGTCGTCATCAGGAATCACTATTGCAATTCTATTCATTTCTGTCGTTGACTTTGAGTGCACAGCCTCACTTGGTGTCCTTTGCTACTTTTTTGTTGTTCTTAGCTCTTTTCCAAGAAAGTTCACTATAATGCTTTTCAGTCACGCATGGTCATGAAAAGCCGTCTAACTCAGGATTTATAGGCACTTTGCGTTTCGGAAGTAGAGCTGAAGATTATTTTCGTGGAATATTGCTTTTCACAAAATAAATTTTTAGGCTTACTCATAACGCTATGATGGACCAATAGGTCCTCTGCTCTGCAAACTTTAGAAATCCAACGAGGTTTGCCGCTGCAACAGACTCTTTGCGTTCGCTCAAAGAAAAAATGAGTTGAAAACATCAATCAATTATAGTTTCTTATGAAAGCTGGTACGTACCCATAATTCCTTGCAATAGAGGAAGATGCATGATACATGCAATATCTGGAAGTCCAAAAGGGTCTATAGTTGCGCCAATGCGTTTAGCCAAAACAAAATAGAAAAATCATTTCCACCAACCAAAAAGGGTGTCACACTTGTTTAGAACTATTCTGTTTAAGAAAAAGAACGCATATGTGGCCCATCAAACTCACTGGACTATAATTGACAACCGAGTCAAGCGGCAATTAACTTTATCCAATGCTCCGTTTGCTCAGAATTGATGTGTTAACAAAGTGCTTCACTTATCTTTTCAACTATGAGTCTCCGGTTTCTCAATCAGCTCCATCAGATACTAATAATTGTAGATCATTAAAGAAGCAAATTGCTACCTTCACACTGGCTGCTGTTGGGTTGGCTCTAAACTCAAAGTTCACTCAGCTGATTTTGTTCGATTGTTTTGAGCCGTAACAAGTTTTCAAAGCTTTCACTTTCAAAGCAACACTTTATAGGCGACACTAGGGCCCGTATGCACGTACATCCCCGCTGGGGAGGGCAGGGGGTCTAAGAGGGGATGCGTCGTATCTCACTACTCTAGATATCTTTCTTCTTCCTTCTCTAACGGATGCCAGGTTACTGTCATACATGGTTGGTTTTTTACCATTTTGTGTGATCTCCTGGGGATCACCAACCTCTCATTTTCAAAGTCATTTATCTTCCTGAGAAGTCAATGGAAACACTGCAAAATTGTACTGAGGTTATACTATCTCACTGCTAAGCATGTTTACGACAGGAGAAACGGAATTTGAAGATTGTTAATTTTTCGATGATCCTTAGCTCGCGAGCTAGGGATTGCCGAAGATTTCGATATCCTGAGATTTCACTTATTTCTGCTACAATCATCTAGCGCCGTAGTATATCCACAGTACAATTTTACAACGTTTCACTGAGTTCTCCCTGAAAACTCAATGAAACGATGTAAAATTGTACTCTAGATATACTGTAAAAATCCAATCAATTATGCCAGTAACCTGGCATCAATTACGCGCGCAAATATTAGGGTATGTGAACTTTTATAAGCAAGATAGAAAAGGAAGAAGGAAGGTACGTAGAGTAGTGAGATATGACGCATCCCCTCTCAACCCTCCTCTCCCCAGCGGGGATGTACGTGCATACGGGCCTAGGAGACATACAGTCAGCTGATTTTATTTTCGAAGTTCAACTTTTATTTAGGTAAGTTTTTCACCTCTGCTTCGCAGAGATTCGCACTGGATCTACTACATATGCGTTGTCCTCCTACTCGCATATGGAAGTCTGCATTGAAACTCAGCAGAAACTGATTTACAAATGAAGTGTAAACATCCACATGAGTAACTCAAGACAAGAAAATCTTTTCAATAAAGGAACAAATACTAATTTGTATTGATTATCAGGTAGGTTATGACTGGTATTTATCATAGAAACAGTAGTTGATGCACGTTACTTCCTCATGCTGAAATTCTGTGCGTTCCATCACATACCTCAAAAAGTATACGGATTCTGCAAAAGAATCATTGTTTCCATGGCTTGCCGATTTGCAGAATTCTGACGCGAAAAGCTTGCTTCCAGAAAATTAGCTCAACACAGTTTTTTCTAAAACCTCTAAGAACCAATGACAGTGTTCTGTTCTAACCCATCAGATGGTCTATACTGGAGGCTGACATTATAGTGTTGTTCAACTCAAAATCGTATCAGCCAAAATCTTTTTTTTAAATGTAAGGAGTTCTTTGAAGAGCGTCATCGAAGTGTGGAGGCTTCAGTCCCGGTGACATTCAAATATCTGCTCTTCATTTTCTGCGAAGCTAAGCCATCATCAAGAGCAAACTTAGAAAGTATAGAGGTTGAGGTGCATGCGTCAGAGAAAGGAAAGGCCATTAGAGCAGCGGTTTTATGGCAGTAAATGGGTATTTATTTTTTTGACAAGATAATTATGTGAGTGATCCATGACGTATACTGCCAAAAAATTATGATAATTATACCGTACTTGTCCTCATATATTTGCAATTATGTCTAGTGCATGACCAGGTCTTGAACTTCGTTTCAAAATTTCCTGCAAATTGTTTTTACTCGACGAGGATTTAGTATTGAGTCAATACTCAAAACTTTTTCATTTTTACTGATAGACGGTACCTGGCACAATGTTTTCCACTTTTCTACTAACTCACCTGATCATATTCGGATCAGCACACAGGTTGCTGTTGTTTATGGTGAAATCTGATATGCCCCGTCGGAGTCATAAGCGCTCCTTGGATCTTACCCGCTTAGTTGGTAAACTCGCAGTACATTTCTCGTTCTTCAGACGTACAGTAACTTCTCATATTTTTTTGAAAACCCGACATTGAACGACTCGTTTGGCCGTAAATACATTCAACCGAGCATGGCGTAATCTAGCAAACCAACTTCGGGACTTCTTCTCCACCATGAATAAGTGCTTCTACGGATGAATGATTCTTCGCAATGGGCCGAATGCGCTTCCAACCATTTCCTAAGTTTATTGTGCTGCTCTAGCAACTAACCAGCCGCTTGTTGTATGTTTCTGAGTAAGCAAGAAGTATTACAATTTTCAACGAACGACTCGTAAGTATTTTCTACATAGTTTGAAAAGAACGTAAATATGCGGTAGATCTCGTACAAGCCAGGTCATTCAGTACCTCCAAAGAATTTCTCAATGTTTTGACATTATGTATGTTTTGACTGCTTAAGCATTTCGGGGGCTAATTAATTATGTCTTTGACGTGCTTAATTATTTGAATTCTATATAATGAGCGTGGTTATATAAGCTTTAGTTGATTAGTCACAACTGCATTCCAGCTCAGCAATGTCAATCATTATTTTGCTTTCAAAGTCAAGAAAGACGTTTCTAGAAAATCTTACGTTTGGGGCAATGAGGGATATTAGAGTTGTATTTACGCATAATTCAAACCGCCATCACAAGCAATTTCGTAGCATCTCTTCTTCAGCACTCAAATCTCTTTTTTTCTTTATCTTCTTCTAAATTTTGCCTTTAATCTTTCCTAAGCACTACTCTGCCTTCCAGCTTAAGCTCTGACTAGTGCCACAAAATTGAGGAAAATCTGATTCTGTGTTGATCTAAATTGCATGAAATAGACATCAGGGAGAAGCATCGAAGGAGGATGATCCTCTCTTTCTAAGTGAATTTTCAGTTTGGTGTCATGTCCAAAACTGCACGCAGGTAGTTACCTACATATGTAGGTTAATATTTTCAGAAACTTGCGAAACAGATTAGCTTTGCATTTCCTAAGGTTGCTCTCTTTTTAGGAACTCTTCTAAAAACCTAAAAAAATTATGTAGGACATGAGCGATTAATACATTTACAGGAGTTAAATCAATTGTAAGAAAACGCTCACCGTTCGCCCCACCGTTCTTTTCCCATAGTCTCTGACAGCGTTGCTTATATCGGAATACTTCTGTTGTAAAAGTGTAGACTTTTTTCGCTGTTAAAATTAGGATCAAAGCGGTACTTTCAAAACAATAATTTCAGTGGCATAATGGGAGGCGGTAAAGTCGAAGCCGGAAAAACGCAAAGTTTCGGTTTATTAGCAAATTTACAAGCACTCAGTGTCACGGAGACAAAAGCCAAAGATCAAAGTAGCTGCAATTACTTTACCACAGGCACTCACAGTCCTTGAGCTTTTCTCTCAAGTTTGCAAAGTAAGTGCACAAAGCAAAATTAGAAACGGCGCAACTTGCGAATTTCTTCCAGATTCCGTGACAACGGACATTCAAATCGTGCCATTTTTCATGCCAACCATTCCATCATCAATGTCATATCCTTTTTTGAGGTCAAAGACATTCTGCATTATTTATGGAAATCGCAATGACTTTCTCATATATGTCCTTGTATGTATCAATTTTACAGTCTTTCAAGGAGTGTTAGGTGATTTATCACGTAATTTTACATCTTTCATCAAATCTACAGTGTGCGACTAACTGCTATTGATATAGATTGCCGTTAAAGTAATTCTAAAGTCAAATATGTTTTATAATGCTTCCTTTCCCCCAGATAGAAAACAGTTATTAATATAATGGCTAAATAAATAGTGAGGTGTGTTTGAGTGAGCTAAGAACCGTTCTTTTAACCTTTAAGCCACTTTCTATTCTATATTCTTGTAACTCTGGCTATTTCTCAAACTTCTGCATAGATCAGGGGCACCTGCATGAAAATCTAAAATTTCCACAAACTTCTGTTTGATAATGATTTGTGTTTACACTGTACTATAACAGAACTTATTTGAAAAGGCATATTCTTGCTCGTGAGTGACAAGGCGAAT